CCTTTTTTTTTTTTTTTTCCCTTGTTCTTCGGGGGCCTTTTTTTATTAACGGGTTTTCTGGAGAATAAACCCTTTATCCATTAGGGGGTGGGGGGAAAAAAGGGGCGGGTTTTTCAGGGAAACAGGAACAGGAAAAAAGGGGGGGCCCCAATTGGGCGGGGAAAAAACACAAAAACAGGGTTTGGAAAAAAACCCCCGTTGAGTGGGCAAAAGCGGGGGGCAAAAATTTCCGTTGGGGGGAAATTTTTTTTCTCCCAAAATTTAAAAAAACCAAATTTTTAAACTTGGGAATTTAAAAGGAGGGGGGGGACCAAAGAACCCCTTAAATTGGACCCCCGGTTTAAAAAAAAAGGCTTAGCCGCCCCCCCCCCCCCCGGTTTCGGTAACCCTTAACCCTTTTTTTTTGGAGTTAGAAACCGTAAACTCAAAAAAACCCCCTTTCGACCCAGGTAGCCCACATTTTTTTTCCTAACCCCCCCCCCCCTGTCTTACCCCCCCCTGTCTTACATCCTCCACCCGCATTATTTAATCCCCCCCCCCCCCCGAATCAACCCCCTACGCCTCTATCCTCCGATGACGGGGGCGACGCAGAGCTCCACAAAGTTTCCCCCTGGGGGGTGACCAGCACCAGCGCGCCGTCTCGAAGCTCAAGCCCAGCGGTCTTGATGGCTCGCCCTTTCGCATCCCACGGCAAGTTGGCCCTCCAGCTGCCGTGCGGCTTTGGGCTCTGGCCCATCGTGCAGAGCCGGCCCCGGCCAACCCTCCACCTCCCGTTCTTTACATAGAGGTGTACCGGAATATCGTCGTCAGTGCCTTTGACCATCCTCCGCCACCAAGACTCCAAGACGCACCCCAGCCCCCCGTCGGCCTTGTCCCCGGTGGAACCCGTAGCGCGGTATGCCCACAGGGGCGGCTTATCTCCGGAGAACGCGGGAATATCCCCTGCCCGCACGATGACGTCGCCGATCTCCGTAATCTCTACGTTGGTCGAGTCCACCAGCGATGCGGTTGACAAGAACTGCCCAGTTTGTAGGGGGTAGTCCCCGGGCGACATGACGTGGCCACGGAAGGCGGGTGAGGCGTCCGGGGTATCTGGCTCCAGCTTCGATGAGGTGACGGACGAATCGCCAAGGTTTTGTGCCAGCGGAGCGCCCTGCACGTGTTGACGTCGCATCAAACATGTGGGCAGTTGTCGGTGGATCGAACCGGACGATGGATCCGGAAAAGGGTGCGCTTGAGAGGTTCGGGCGTCCGGTCTTTGCAGTAGAATGGATGGTTGTAGATGCCACCATGGCAAGTGCCATCACGACACCGTCACGATGATACGGTCACAACGGGAACATCAACCATTAGTGATGACCACCAACATTACAACACCATCAAAAACAACACCAAGACAATGACCACAACAACGATGACAAACAATGTTAACGACAACCCTTCCCCGCCTCCCCCGAACACCCCCGCCACCACCAAAACAACAACCTTCAACGATTACTTACGTCCAAGCGATTTGTTTCCTCGTCACCGGCAGGTCCTTGGGCGATGATTGCCTCTGTCAAGATAGAGACCCATGCGTCCAACTCCGACTGGCTTTCCGCATCCAGCGTCCACTGCATTTCATTCACCGTAAAACATGCCCAAAAGCAAGTTAGCCGGGTTGACGGAGACGAAATTCGACTAGCCATAAAGATAGCCCGTCCGCACCACGGCACACTGTGGCGGTGTCCGGGGTGGCGGCGAAGGTAAACAATATGCGAGATGAGAGCAGCCGGCAGCAATCGACGCAGCATCGACCACGCTATGGTCGTGCAACCTTCGGCGAGATCGTCGGGAGACGAGCTGGGAACCAAGTGTGCACGGGAAAGGGTTCTAGTCAACGGCTGCAAGGGGCACACAGAATGAAGCGCGTCATTGCTCGTTCCATGCCCTTGCACACAACGGACATACAGGAAAACATGCGTGCACCTGGTTCCGAACACAGAACAAGTCATGAAGCCGGTGTTTCGTTTTGGTGATAACCGTTGGCATAATCCCTGACCACAAAAATATTGTACTAACAAATGCAACGACGAGGGGGAAATCTCTCTCTCTCTCTCTCTCCGCTCCCGGTCTCCCCCTGAGGGCGCAGACAGAGTGGTGTACGTTTCCACCTTAGACGATGTGAATCTTTGTTATCGTGCACGATAACATATTCATTCATGGGAGCTTTTCTCATGGGGCGGAGATGCACTCACCTTTGTGTTGGTCTTCCCGCGAGGGTCCCCGGACACAACGCGGAACATGAACCGTCCGTTGCCGGCCTTCCCCACGTCCTGCTCGGAGAGTCTAACCACCTCCGAAGACCGGTCCAACGGTTGCTCCTGGGGTAGTAGCGGTACATTGTCATGGTCATTGTCATGGTTATCGTCATGTACTCGCTGGAAAATGCAAGAAGTGGGATCAAAATGAAATCGTAGGTATTTTCTCGGGGGGGGGGGGGGTGACGGTGGATTTGAGCCGACTTGGGAGCACGATGAGTCTCGCAACCCATGAATGACGCGCGTCATTCGTCGACAGCGCAACGAAAATATGTATAACATAGAACAATAGACTTCCCTGTCGACTATAACATCTCGTTCATCGACAACCTCTTTGTTGCGCCGTTAGCTGCAGAAAACACGAGAGCAATACGAGAGGCTTCGAATGACTTGCTCTCATTTTTTTATCGCACGACACGTGCCTTGCAGGAGGCGTGATTGGCGAAACCACGCTTAGTGTGACACAGCCTCAGGACAGAGCCGGCGACGAGCGAGAGGTCTCCGGGTTGCCACCCTCGGACCATGGTCTTGAAGAGCACCTTTCCCTCCTTGCGAAGCTGCATAGCGAGGGTTTGGCGCAAGAGCGGCAGGAGCGCGAAGAGGGAGTGTGATGTGAGGGGGGAGTGGATACAACGGTTTCGGGCGCAGAGTAGTAGAGGAATTGCACCACGTGGTGTAGTCTACATGTGCACACCCAGTTGTCGGATTCCCTGCGTGTTCGAGTTTTGCTCAGTCCTCACACGTAGACTGAGTTGTCAAGATCTTAAAATCGCGTTGTCTTCACCCAGGCTCCCGCGCCCTCGGTGGCATGACGTCTCCTCTCTACCTCTTCCCGTCGGGTAGCGAGGGAACAGGGATGATACTCACGGGCTGCTTGCAACACGTGGTCATGTCAACCACTGACCACAAGTCAAATCGTCTGCCGCTACAGTAGTTCGCCGATAGAAGCTCCGATAACATCACAACTGTGGAAACAAGGATATAAGTATCTTCCGAGAGGTAATGCCGTACATGTGACCAGCAAAGATCGCCGGACTACATGAACGATGTTCTATCGTCCGAAAACATTAACATTTGCCAGGAAAGATTCACAGAATACCGTGACCATTCATGTAGATGTTGGAGATGGGGAGATGGTGGTGAAGGCCCCACGCCCCACTCTCTCTCGCCTTCCACCTTTTTTGAACTAGCTAAGCCGAGACTTCGACTACGCTTGGCACTTCCTCGCCACATATCAAGAACGGTCAATCACTACTTCGGGAACCTCTACTCGCGACAGAGAAAAGGAATTATCACAACCATCGCTCTATATCACCATATCGAACCACCTGGACCTCAAGACGGCTTAATCCAATAGTCCAGGTACCAAACATCAACCCCCCCGGGATGGGTTTTGTTCCATCCAAGACGCAGCAGGGAGGCAAGTACCGGAAAGTCGGATCTCACCATTACGCCGTCGGGCGTGGCCTCGTCCGAGGCAGAATCCTCGGGACCGTCGCCGCCGTCGTAGACGCCGGTGGAATTGTTTCCAGTGTTGTCATTGTCGTCACTGTCGTCATTGTTGTCGTCTTCACAGTCGGAACTACAGCCGCCGCCATCGGTGTCGTCGATGTCGTCGTCGTCGGTACTACTGGCTCTCAGAACCCGTCTGGTGCCAGCTACCCAAGCGTCCCGGCGCTTGGTGTTGGATGCACGGAACGGTCTCACACCCTGGTTCAGGAAGGATTCAGCGAAAGGCACAAATGTCACCGGGCCACGCGCAGCGGGTGTTGAGTTGAAAGGTGAGGCGGGCCAGGCGGTAAAGCCGTGGGTCATTCCGTGAAAACACTCTAGAGAGTCCCAAGGGGGAGACGAGGAAAATGCGGGGTTGTAGTTCATGTTCCACGGGAGGGGTAACGTCAAAAAGAGGATGGGAGCAATGCAGGCTCCAAAATGACTTAGCACCGAATGGACCAAGAAACGACTGCCCGCCAGAGAGTTGAGTTATGCTTACCCTAGTCTACAGGGCATCGTCTTCGAGGCATCGTCTACGAGGCATCGCCTACGAGGCATCATTTACGGGGCACCGCGAGGTTGTGCTGATTGAAAAGCGCATCCCCGCCACGCACGGCACCGCACCCGCCGCAAACAAGCTCAACAAGAACCTTAAGAGAAGCAAGCGGACAGCGCTTACCTGAAAAACGGGTTTCCAGTCCGCCCCGTTGTTCGTCATGCCGGTGCCAGCGTCGGCGGTGGTTGGGGCGACCGGTACGGCACCTTGTTCAAGCGCGCGCTGGGTCTATGTAGGCGGGGCGCAAGGAGACACGTACACGACTTACCAAGAATCGGAAAATGAATGAGAGTAGGAAAACGCAGTGGAGGACACGGCAAAAGTAATAATATCGGAAGATGGTACCCAATGCGCAAAGTAGGAAGAAACACAACATGTGCACGCCGCTGGTGGGGGCTATGCTCACCTCCAGATTTTTTCCCATAGTCGGTGGGCGAGAATTGGCATTGCAGCGCTATGTGGGTACCCTATTCGTCGCACCTGCTTCGCTTTGGACGCAGCTGTGTCTTCCGTGCTGTACTCTAGAACCGAAAACGGCGGCGGGCCAAAGCCGCAAGCGTAAAACGGCGGGAACACGGGGACGTCCACACCCGGCCTTGAACCAGTGGCACGCTGCACCTTAGACTACACAAGCACCAGGCATGAAAAGGGGTAATAGCAGGACGAGGACAGAAAGCAAGAGCGACACCGAACGTCCACTGAGGAGGGAGAAGCAACACAAGCATCACAGAATGTTCGTATTTCGGCTTGAGCCAGTGTATGCGTTTTGCAACAGCGACGCAAGGACATGGGATAGCGCAAGACACAATCAATTGGAATTGGACAGCGCGAAAAATTGGAACACAGGTCTATGGTATGCGCCGCCGTTCATAATAGCGGCAGCAGCGGTGGTGGCGGGCGTGGCATCTTGCTCCAGGGCGGGGGGGGGCTTTTGTAGTCGGAGCGAAATGAGACACGTTCAAGGCTTACCAAGAACATCAGAAACTTAATCGGAGTAGGAGCGGCACAATAGAGGACACGACAAAAGTAAAAATATCGGAAGATGTACTCTACATATGTGGGAAGGAAGGTTACCCTACGTACGTGCACGCCCCTTGGCGGGACTTGTCTCACCTGAAGCGTTTTTGGGCGTGTATTGGCGGTACGATACCAGCACTATCCCGCAAAAACATTTTCCCTCGCTGCACTTGATTCGCTTTGGACGCGGCCGTGTCGGTCGCGCCGATCTCGAGTTTCAAAAACGGCGAGTCGAGGCCTTTTCCCTGCGAGAGCCCGACGGAGAAGTCCTTGTCAGGCCTTCCCCTCGTGGCAAGCCCCAGCACTGTAGGTATCAGTTCTAAGCTGAGGCTTCCCAGGAGGGCAAGGGCGGGACAAGGACTTCTCGGTCCAGCTCGTGCAGGGAAGCGGCCTCGACACCCCCTCCTTGAAACTTTTCAAGATCGGCGCGGGCGACAAACACGCGTCCAAAGAGAAGCAGATGCTGCGAGGGGGATGTGTTGTACAAGATAGCGCTGGCATCTCAAAGCCAAAACCACGCCCAAGAACGATGGGGGGCGAAACGCTGCAGGTGAGCCTAGCCCGCACCAGGGGCGTGCACTTGGTGTAATCCTTCCTGCTTTGCGCATGGGGTATCATCACTACGCATTGTCGCGGTTTGTCGTGTACTCTATCGTGCTGCTCCCACTCTGATTCATGTTCTTGTGTTCTTGGAGGGTCCTGTGCGTGTCTCCTTGCGCCCCGACTACAAAGGTCCGCCCCGCCCTAGAACAACATACCGCACCAGCCGTCACCGCCACCGCCGACGCCTGTGCCGCCATGATACCAGGCGACACCAGCGTCAGCAAAGAACGAGGCCAGAAGGCAAGACCGACACCAAGCGTCCACTGAGGAGGGGGATGCAACTGAAATACAATCATCATCACCACCACCACCACGAACAACAACATCAACAACGACAACGAAAACAACAACTTTCAACGACTACTCACGTCGTCATTTTTTGCATTCTGGTCGACGGGATCGATAAGGGCGATGGCCTCTTGCACGAGCGAGACCCATGCGTCTAACTCCGACTGGCTTTCCGCATCCAGCGTCCACTGCGGTTCGTGTTCACCGCAAACGACGCACAATAGCAAGGTAGCACGGTTGGTGGAGAAGAAACGCGACTAGTTCGACACACAGTCCACAACACGACATACTCTGGCATTGTTCGGGGGGATGGCGAAGGAAACTAAGACCCTGGTTGCACGCGAGGAGAAGGCGACGGCAGCAATTTGCGCAGCATGGGGCCACGCTGTCTTGCACACTTGGGGGTAAAATATTGAGGAGAAGCGATCGCAACCTACTTTTTGGGACAGATACTGCGCGAAGTGACACAGGCAACCTACGTTTTCGGACAGATACTGCGCGAAGTGACGCAGCAGCACAGCATGCCGTTCATGGTTTCATGCCATACAATTATATGAATGCAGCTGATCAGGGGATACTTGAAGCCAGTGCACCGTCTAAATGGCAAACGTGGTGATCATTACGCCGATAAGGCACTCAAACAAAAGCATCAACGAGTGGAAAATCACTCTCTGCCAACCCTGCAAAGAAAGTGCATTGGTTTTTCACCTTGGGACGGTGTTCTCACCGTCCACAACAATATTTCAACGACAAATCGATCTACCCGCGGGCAGGAGCGGCACTCACCTTCGTGTGCATCTTCCCGCGACGGGGCTTGGTCACGACGCGGAACATGAACCGCCCGTCATCCGCCTTCCCGCCATCTTGCTCGGATAGTGCAACGACCTCCGAAGACCGGCGCAAAGGTTGTTCCTGAGAAGTTGTAGCGGTACATGGTCATTGTTATCGTTGTCACATTCGCGGGAAAGCGGAAGTGGGAGCAGAATAAAAACGTAGGAATTTCGGGGGGGGGGGCACGAGGGCAGAAGTGAGTCGGCGTGGGAGGGGAGCACGGAGTATCATTTCGCAACCCATGGATGATGCCCCCCTTTCGTTGACAGCCGATGAAGAGAGGGATGACTTCTGTTTCGACTGCAATATCTCGTTCCCGAACAACCTCTTCGTTGCACCGTTAGTTGAGAAAAACGAGAGCGGCTGCGAATCACTTGCTCTCTTCTTTTTATCGCACGACACATGCCTTGCAGGTGGGCTGCTGCTTGAATACACCACTCTTAGTGTGGCACAGCCGCAGGACTGAGCCGGAGACGAGCGAGAGGGCTCGGGGTTGCCACCCTCTGAAGGTGGTCTTGTGGAGCACCTTTCCCTCCTTGCGAAGCTGAAGCTGTACAGCAAGCGTTTGGCGCAAGAACGGCAGGAGCACGAAGAGAGGGTGTGGTGCGAGAGGGGGGAAGTGGGTACAACGTTTAAAGACACAGAGGAGTGCACAGGAACGGTCCCACCTCATGCAGTCTACACGAAGATCATATCACAATCATCTTTCTGTATCAGGACAACGAACCCGCTAGACTCCAAGATGGCTGCATTGAAGTAGTACACGTGCATAGTACCACCCCCCCACCTCTTTGCGGTAACCATAATGGTGGTCGAGTAGATCATGTTGTGCGGGGTCGAGAACCCCCACTCCGCGCAACGGGGGATAATCGCACCACGTTGTGTTAAATTGGTTAAGCACTATCGAGGAAGTTAAACAGTGCTTACAACTGTCTCTGGAAGTGAAAGCACCAGAAAATAAACTAAGTCATACGCAGCTATCATCCGAACGCAAGGAAGTAAGCACAGGATGCCGAACGCCCTTAGCAGGATGCAGCACACCCTTCATGCGACTCGCCGAATTCCTCACGGCGCTTCGCGCTTGTTGATGTAAGAGCCTGGTCCGGTGAGAACCCGGCGTGCTCCGTCCCGGCTTTGTAGGGATGCGAGGTCAATGGTCTAACGACTACGGCATGCACGACTATGAGTACCCCCCCCCCCCCCCCCCAGAAGGGCCTCCGAAATTGGTGTTGCCTCCCGACCAAGATGTGGCAGGGAGGTAAGTACCGCAAAGTCGGATCTCACCTGAACGGCGTCGGGCGTGGCGTCGCCCGAGGCAGAATCCTCGGGACCATCGCTGCCGTTGTTGTCGCCGTTGTCACCGCCATGATCGGTATTGCCATCGTCGTCATCACCATCGTTGCCGCTGCTCTTGCCGCCGCCATCGGTGTCGTGGCCAGCGTTACCTCTGACGCTCCGAACGTTTCTGATGGCGTTTACCCAGGCGTCCCGGTTCTTGGTGTCGGAAGCACGGAACGACCAGGTACCCTGGTGCAGGAAGGAATCGGCAGAAGGTCACGGGGCCACGTGTGGCGGGTGCTGAGGTGAATGGGGCGTTGAAACCGTGGAGCTTACCATGAAAATGCTCGACAAAGCTTGCCTGGAAACGTGGAGTGATGGCGACGACAGTACTGCGGGGAGTCGAGAGACTGTTCTGAATAAATATCGCGGGTGGGACCCCCCCCCCACCCGGGTACGCACGGCACCGAGCCCGCGGCGGGCGTACACCAACAAGGGGAACAAGACGCGCAAACACCGACATGTACCACCGTTTCCGTCGGTTCAAAGTCACGTACTACGGAGATACAGCTGTACAATTTTCAGCGGCCTAAAACTTCGTATGACCACACGTGTTTAATTTGATGAATCGCAGCGTCCTCCTCAGCCCGAATAATCAACAAAGATGCTGGGGTAAATCAACTGAGAGGGTAAGACGGGGTAAAAGTTAATCGGGATCCTCGGGAAACATGGCAGTCTTCAAGGTATTCACGTATACACCATACGTTCGGCCGAACGCATGTGTTTGAAACAAATCAAGATGATGATACTTGTAGTGTTTCGGTGATAGCCCTTACCTCGCTCACATCGCGGTCCAGCCATAGAGTGCGGAGCGACGCATTCTGTTTTAGACTATATTTGTCTCCCTTTTGGACTGAGAAAAAAGTAGCTTCGACTTCTGAAGCATTGTTCGAAATTGATTCCCGGAGTGGACGAAGTAGGCGCTTACGTGAAAATCACGTACACAGAGGAAGAGAATACGTCTAAGCGTCTCGCGGTTCTTTCCATCACTCGTTCGTAAAAAACGCAGCGTGCTGCTGCTCACCTTAGGGGTCTTGACCACGAAGCGGTCGGTGGAGCCTTTGTGGGAGGTCGGCTCAACAGACGTACCCCCGACGAGAAGAATGACCTGCTTTGATTGACGCGGTAGGGCGCAACAAGCAGCGAACAGTCGGGGTGCGAGGAGACATGGGCAGGGCGCACAAACAATACCGGAAACAGAAATCAGAGCGGCAGCGGCGCCGTGGAGGACACAGCAACAACAAGACAAATTCGGAGAGGTGACAGTCTAATACAAGTGCGAAGTAGGAAGGGCTACGCACCAAAACAGACATGCCACTGGTAGGGACTGGTGCAATAAACCGCTAGCATTTTGTAGTCGGCCGTGCGTAGTCTCTGCAATGCCAGCGCGAGCTAACCGGTGCAACCTATTCGCTGCACCTTCTTGGCTTTGGCGGGGTCATTGTCGTCCGCGCCGACCTTGAACAATCTGAGAGACGGCTGGTCGAGGCCACTTCCTTCCACGAGGTGGGCGGAGAAGTCCTTGTCCGGCATCGCCCTCCTGACGAGCCGCAGCTCGGACTACAGTATCAGGTAAGAAAAGCGTCATCGCAGCACGATGGCAGAAATCAAGAGCGACACCGAGCGGCCACTGAGAATGGAGACGCCACAGAAACACCCCCAAATGGCTATGTCATGGGAGTGAGCCTGAGTGTTTGCGTTTTACAACAACATCGCATGGAGATGGGGTACCGATAGCGGAGCGAAAGGCAAGCTTCTCGGGAATTGAACAACCCTCACCTTGGCCACAGGTGTGATGTCTGAGGTGTATTGTGCGCGGTCGTTTGTCCCGATAGCGGTGGTGGTGCACGCGGCATCTTGTTCCAGGGGGCTGGGGACCTCTATCGGGTCTTCGGGCGGCTCCGGCGCAGCGCCCGTTCCAGCCGCGTCTGCGCCGCCCCCATCGCCGTCACTCGAATCGGCTGCAGCGGTAGCGATGGCGGGGGCAGGAGGGGATGCATCGTGCTTACATTCGGTGGAGGCTTTCCTTGTGTTCGGGCTTGTCCCCCTCAATGTGTCAACAATACGTCCATCTAGCAAGCCGCTTGGTTTCTGAAAGTCGCCTGCTCTGTTTGCTAAGGTAGCGCTATGATACAGCACTGTTGTGGCAGACAAGGATCGTCTCACCGTTCTGCCTCTTCGAGATATTAGAGAGGGTGGCTGGCGGTTACACAAACTACGTAATGGCGAGGAGACAAAACGATGGAAAGACCTTAGGGAAGCACCAGATATGTTTGAGTATTTGAGGTGGAACTGCGTTGGCCATCTTGGCGGTCAAGCGTCGACCGTTTCAAGGACCAGATCGGCTTGCGCTGGAATCAATGAACTTTCCACTGGGTTGTTCCACGGCTAGACGTGTTTGACGAAGAGAGGGTTAGAGGTGCGGTTTACTCTCGACCCGAAGCGAGGCACGCTCTCAATACTCAGGGAAAAAGCATCATCAGCAAGACTGGCACGCGGTTGGAGCGACGGGCGTGTGTATGACGACCGTTGCCTTCGCGGCGAAGAAGACGACGCGGACACAACAAGCAAGCAATGCTTCGTTGCTGCATTGGGCCAAAAAAGGAGACAACGTAGTAGCGTAGTTCAAACAAGAGAGAAAACGGAATTCAAATAGAACCACACAACTACCCTGCTATTTATCTCGGCGCCGTCCTCTTGTCCGTTGCTCTCGAAACAGCCTACCAGTACATTGCGTACAGAATCCAGAAAACGAAAATGAATCTGCCACGTACCATGCGATGGACGACCATGATGCCCGTTGGCGTTGCTGTGGGATCCGTCTGTGCTCTGATGATTCCTCACGTCCCCAATAGTCTTGGAGGGAAAGGTTGCGGATGTACTGACCTTGGCGGCAGTATCAGTGGCAGCGACGGCATCAGCGGCGGCGGCGGCATCAGCGGCGGCGGCGGCATCAGCGGCGGCGGCGGCATCAGCGGCGGCGGCGGCATCAGCGGCGGCGGCGGCATCAGCGGCGGCGGCGGCATCAGCGACGGCGGCGGCATCAGCGGCGGCGGCGGCATCAGCGGCGGCGGCGGCATCAGCGGCGGCGGCATCAGCGGCGGCGGCGGCGGGTGTTGGTTCTTCCTTTGAAGCCGTGCCATCAGAGCCATTGAAAGGATCGGCCACGTTGTTGTCGACAGCAGAAGCTGCGGGATCGGAGCGAGAGAGAGTGGAAGTGCTCTCGGCCTCGGTACTGTTTGGAGCTGTTCCAGGGAAGAGCGGCCCCGTCGGAACAATCGCAGGATCGGCGGCGGCGGTGGCGGCGGCGGTGAGAGGCGCGGGTGAACCAGCCAAATTGTGTCTGGGGTTGGTGATCTCTTCATCAGTGGTGGTGGCGGTGGCGGTGGCGGTGGCGGCGGAGGTGGTGATTGCCGTGGTCAAGCCCAGGTCGGCTCCGTTCATCCCCTCCGTTAGCTCAGCAACCACGGGGATCGTGGCAGAGATTGGAGCGTCGGTTGTGTGGTAGGCGTCAGCGTCAGTAACAATGGCGGCGGTGGTGGGGGCAGTAGCAGCGGCCGTGCCAATCGCCGATTCCTCCTCCGTTCCTGCAGGCACCTGAGGGAGCGTCGGAGAAACTGAAACGTCAGCCGTGTCGTTGGTGTTAACTTCGGAGATGTTGCTGATCTCGGATACGACGTCAGGTTCATTTTTTTCCTGTACATGTACACCGATACGGTGGACGGAGGAGAGGAGCGGAACGGTGGAAAAAATGGTAGATCGAGGAATGCGGTGAACAGTCGTCGTGGGGGCCAGAGAATGAGACCTGTTCTGTGAGCAACGCCCGTCTGGTTGCCCCCCCACGGCCCTACAAGAACAAGCCACGTACAGTCTATGTTCGTGTCGTCGCGCACGGAGTGTGCCTTCTCGCAAAACCTGTCAAGTGCGGATTCGTTCGATTTCTTCCCGGGGATGTCAATGCCGAAGTGCGTTGTTCGCAAAAAAAAACAAACTCGCCTCATTGTTGCTTACCAAGACGACGACGTCTCTGCTTACTGTAATAGTCTGGTCTACAGTACCAGGAGTGTATATGGCTAAGCTCCTTGTGGTCGGTGATGGTGTGCTAGGAGGTGGATGAGTACAACTCCTTGTGCGCGTGCCCACCGCTGAGCGCATCGCCATCATCAACCGCAACAAGGGGCTGAGCCTCGTGGAAGAGGACAACAGTTTTTTGTGACATCTTCATGGTCAGCTCGACACTGAGAGTCAAGTATTTATGTTGCAGAGACGACACCGTTTGGTATTGACACCCCCTTGGGGGCAATCCACCACACAGGTGAGTGTGGTCGTCCACGTCTACCACCGCCGCGGTGACTCCCGCTACCTACTGCCCTCCTGGTGCAGGCGAGCGGCGGGGGACAAGGGGGGGGTTGCGGAGGACGGCCGGTGCAGCCAACGGCCGGAGGAGGACCGGCTGAATATCGGTTTCTGGAAGAAATCACCAAACGGCACACAAGTTTGTCCGCATGAAAAGTGCCAGCTAGCACAACGCTCACCATGTCGTTGGTGCTGGAGTTGCGGTCGTCGTCATTCATGTTGTTGATGTCGTCGTTGTTGATGCCGTCGTTGTTGTTGTTGTTGTTGTTGTTGTTGTTGTTGTTGCCGTTCGCTGACCCCAGGAGAAGGGCCCCAAGAAGCACCAACAACAGCAACCAGCTGTTGGTCTTCATGATGCGCGTGAGCCTCATACTTGAGCACTGAGGTTACATAATCAGGAAGGGGACACACCCAGTCAGTGTGTGGGGTGAGCTTGACGACGATAGAAACGTTACGGCCGACGTACGACGGCAGAAAACAAATTATCCGTGAAGAATATCGTGCAGCTGACGACATCGTATTTCTATTTGCTTGGTTTGGTTACATACACGACGAGTGCGTGGAGAGATACGGACGGCCGTTTCACATTTTTGTTTTTTTTGGCCGCAACCAACTTTGCCACTCCGGAATCTTGGCGCCTCACAAGCAACAGGGTAGGTACGTGCGGATTTGGGTACCCCCCCGCGCTGTTCGAAAGGGGTGACTGTCCATGATGAAACAGCGAACTACATGTCTTAAAATCGGCTATCAACGAAGCGGAAATGGGCTGATCAAAGCGGCTTTTCAGCGATGCGGGCAAACTCCCGTTGTATCCAAATGCGGTGCAAGATGTGACCGGAATCTGTGTCGAAAGAAACGGCATTTCTCTCTCTGGCTTTTCTGGCTGGGATGCATGTGCCGTCCTGGATCTGACACGTGGATTTTGATTGCTGGTGGGGATCCGGGGTACGTGGATGTTTGCGCTACTCTCTCGCTCCTCGCGGGTGGCCAAGCACAGGAGGGCCGAGACCACAACTACTGCGGTAACTCCCACTCTCCCTCAACGCACGGCACACCCCCCAACAACGCGCGGCGCAACCCGCCAAACAGGAGCAATGCCACCACACCAAGCCCAAAACTTTGGCGGGCCAAAGTGACTCCCGGGATCCACCTCTGGCATGGGCACGGGAAAGGACTTTTGTTTCGATCCCCTAGATTAACCCATTGCCGGCCGGCCACACATGCACGCGGTGCCGTGGCCCGCTGGCGGGTGAAAGCCTACCTAGACCATGGTGTGCGCGCTTCACATCCCGCCGCAACACACACTCTAGACCCGCACGGCACCAAACGTGGACTCGCGGGTATCAGGCGCCAAGCTGGGCGGAAGACCTCTCTCTTACCTGCTGAAGTGTAGAGGCGGGTGTTACTGTCTGAGCTTGTTCCGGTGAAGTTGTGCGCAGCAGTGGTGAGTGATGTCCGCTGATGAAGAATCAAGATTTTTTTCTCTTTTTTTTTTTTTTCATGCTATCGGCAGGAGGCTCGTTTCCCTGAGGGCGCAAACGCCTCCGTATTTTCTCTGAAAGAGCGAACGGACATCATTCAGACCTACCTACAATATCCGTGGCCGGTATATTGAAGATTTGTTTCTGTGTGATCCTGCAGCCGTAGACAAAAGAGCGCGTGCCACATATGAACGTTGTTGTTGTTGTCTTGACAATAAAAACCGTTTTGGGCGCGCGATGCGGTCGATCGGCGCAGGACTCTGTCGGTGTGTGTGTGCTCATCCAATGGAGAAAAAACAGTAGTAGCCGCCGCCGCCGCCGCCGCGGAAGCAGCGACAACAGCAGCAGCAGCAGCAGCAGCAGCATGGGAAAGAGGAGTGCGGTCGCTCGGTTTTTCGGGATACCCAGGCTGACCTCCATGCCTGCAGCAGGTCGAACCCTTTTTTCACCCACCAAGCGCATGGATTATTCGCCATCCGCAGCTTCCGTGAAAACATCGAGGGAAGGGCGCGAGGTTAACGATAAGCCCTTGCGGCAAAAAAACAATGTTGACTATCCAGACGACATCATCACAAACACGACGATATACAAGGGTTGCTTACAAACCAGGTCAGGGGGTGGGGAAGCAACGGTGCTCCCACGATCCAACCGCACCAGTGCTGTAAGAATTTCATCCATACAAGAGAATCAAATCAAGCGGCAAATCACATTTACATACGCCGCTCACCAACAACCCTCCTTCCAGCCAGGCCATGTTCTCAAGAAACGCACCACACCGAAAACACACAACACCATAACTGTACGACATCTGCACTCAAGTCACACACATGCTAGCCACAGGAAAACCTCAACACTTGGCGGGCGAACTTCCTCCATAACGCGTGGAAGCTGACGGCAGAGAATGACCGTCTTCTCCCCTTCGCTCCTTGCACGTGTATCATGCTTGCCCCCAATCCGCCACGCGTGCCGCGTCCCGTGATCGATTTCGATCAGTCACTATCAAATGCGGGCAACAGAACGTGTCTCGCCCTCCCCCCCGTCGGCTGAGAGGCAGCCACTGCTGTAGAAAATATCACTGCGGCCACTCATGAGATAATCAGAACGACCCATGTCTCGTATGCATAGAGAACAACTATGAGCGATGACGGGACCGCCTTCGCGCGATTGATAAGTTTATGAGGAAATAGGACAGGGAGGGGGGACGCAGACCCTATTCCCTAACCCTGACCCAACTTCCCCGATTGAGTACTTCATCCAACATGTTTGCTTAGTACAATAAACCTGCGAAGGTTACTGCGACGACGAGATCCCCCCCCCCCCCCTCCTCTACACATACACAGCGCTTCATCATCATCGGAGATCGACAATCGACATTCTTACGGGAGCCCATGTGAGGTCCGCTTGTTCGTAGATCGTAATGTCGTCGGGGTGTTGATGGAAGCCCTTGAGTTTGCATTCTTGAATAAGCTTCATCCCCTCAGGCTGGGTCAGGCGAAACACGCCAACCCTATCCAAGGTTCGGGGATCGGGGGGGGGGGTCGTGAGTCATGATGACTAGCTTCTAAAACGCGAAAGCAGTCAGACGGCGATTGATCACATCTTTTTCAGGGTCCCTTCATTCTTCACGACAAAGAGTGCTCCACAAAAAGTGGTGTGACATTTGGGCTCCACCTCATGTTGACAAAGAGAGAGGCAGATACGAATTGGTGCTGACGAAAAGGCCCATTCGTGCAACAAGGCCAACAAAAGCCTTCAACATGGCAGTGACCGTTTAGATTCTTTTGGTTCGTCCCATGCATCCTGAGAGGCCAGTCTACACCTTTGGAATAACTTGAATGGGGTGTGACGCGCCAGCGGGGGTCGCATAGCGTAAAACGATACGAATTGATAGCGATGGAGGCGATCGCACGAAAACCGGCGGCATCCCGAACAATCACCATTAATTCCCATCGCGGACTTTTAGTGATAGGAAGTGAAGGCTAATCAGCAACTAGTGGACTTCATATTTCTTTCAAGAATATGCGGTGGGTGGCTGCGCAGGAAAATCTGCGGCAGCTTTGGGCGGGGGAGCCGACGACCGGGGGCACACGTCCGTTGCGACTAGGCTGTAGTGATGGCTAGTGTAGCGAAGGCATGGTGGTACATGTGATGTTAACAGTCGGTGGTATCATCGGGGCAATGAAGACGCCAAAAGGGCTTACCGCTTGTTTCCGTAGAGAAACGCCTACATGTCCGAAGAAAAACGAGATCTGGCCAGGGGTGCGTGCACCACATCCAAGACATTCTTACGGAGAGCTGTGTGGCGACACGTCGCCAAGTCAAGGCTTTCATCGAGGGAGGTGAGCATCAGGTCGACAACGACATTGCTGCAAGGCATCGATTGCCACATGTTCACACACTAGAAGCGATTGTATGTGCGTCGGCATAAATCTTGAACCAACAACGTGAAGAGCAGAAAAACCTGGCGAAACCTCTAGACTCTAGACATCCGCATCGGATTAACAAAAAAATAACAAATATTTGATGACACGGCACGCACCTCTTTTTGTTGTCACCCGGGGCGTACACTACCGCCACGGCCTCCGGCAGCATCAGCTGGTAGCCGCAGTGAGTGTGTAGGTCGACGCTGGACATGAAGCAGTCCTAAAAAGCCATGCACACACACACACGTGTAAAACAACGGGAAAGGAACGAGCACGTTAGCCAGCCCTGGGGTTGTAGAATCTCAGGTTAACCGACAGTAAAAAAATCCTTCCAGTCCTTGCAAAGCAAAAAATGAAAGGGAAACTGGCTAAGGAGAGAGTTCGCACTGTGTAGATTTCAGGCCAAAGCACGGTACAGCACGCGCAGCCACGTAAGAACGCGCGATTCAAGATATCTAGGCTCGACAAGAGATGAACGAAATAACTTGGCCATAACGTGGGTGCTCAGCTAAGCACTCCACACTAAAACCTAGTATATTGTCGATGTCGGGTTACCCTGGTCTCCGAGCCGTAAGAACCGAGCCTCGTGAAAACTAAGAGGGGACAAAGTAGCGCCGCGTGCTGTGTTCTACAGAGAAATGTCTGGGAAATCGTAGACATACAGGCAGCTTTTTCTGACGCTATGAATTCATTGCTAATCTGTCTCTGACTCTTTTCTATGACAGAGATGGATTCGTTGTGTCATATTAAGAAAAAAAAAATACCCCACGCTAACGTTTAACCCTCCTTTGGCCGCAACTTCACCCGGTGCATATCTCTCTCAGCATCCAACAGTCGCCCTATCCTGCACCAATCCGTAAAAAAAAAAGACAACACCATCTTTCGTAGGAAGGGCGGAAAGGAACATCAAAGGCGGGGGGGGGGGGGGAGGGGGCAAAAATGGGAGTGAAAAGGTTGCGGGCGGGATACCTGTTTCGGGTGCGTGTGAATCCAGCCCAGAGTGATGAGCTTGTTGGAAAGCATGTAGTTGAACAGCTCGGTCTCATCGGTGGTCTCCACCGAGTTCGGAGTGCCCTGGCGGGGATGAGACGAACAAGCAAGAAAAACATATCGTTCTTGAAGAGACCTGCATGCAAATCAGCTGTGATTGGCTGATTGAGCAGACATGCCGAGCTAGTTCAACTCTGATTCCTTCAACAGTGACGGCCGGACGAACGAATGTTAGTTGCCTGGCTGGCCCAGTTTGTAAAACTTCAAGTTGTCTTATTTTACAATAGTCGTAAAACCTTGAGTTTGTGCGGGAGACCTTATAGAGCAATGCATGAGGAATAATCCCTCAACCGCAGGGAACTCTATGAAGGGGGGCAAAATTGAAAAACAACGACAGAAAATATGACCGAATACAGTGTACGTGATCAACCTTTGCACAACAACGACATCTTCGTCGTTGGCCAGAACTCAACAGACAAATATCGCATCAGCATGGTTGAAACACCCCGGATAGAATGACTCCACGGCGGTGTTCGTTGTGATTCCAGGAGCGAAAACTCAAAACCAACGAGCGGTTGGTGCTGGTAGTTGTTGGCGTAGAAGGCAACAGGAACCATTCGCGAGTCAGTTACGGCAGTTCACCGGGAAGCTTTGTGAATCTGTCAAGCCGAAGTTGAAATCACCTACAGCAAAATCGAGATAGAGCAGAAGAAGCTTCAGAGGTCACAGGAACGCATTGGAGCAGAACCAATCTTGGCGCTGGTTCCTTCTTGCTACAACTGCTTCCACCCAACAAACGACCAAAGCAAGAACAAGCTAGCCGCGACGACGGTAAGCACACGCACCGTCTGCTTGGGGATGATCAGTGTTGTCATCTCGAGGACGTTGTGCGTCTGAAGACCAAAGATGCCACAGTCAGGAACCAAAAAACACCGAAAAGAGGCGTGGACGCGAGGGAGAGGAGGAGTACGTCAGGAAAGTTTGCCCCGGAGACGTGCAACACAGAGAGGAAATATGTACGTGCATTGATACAACTGTGAAAAAAACTCAACACCCAAGTGGTATGTGACCTCTGCATTCGCCAAGGGAAGTTACAACAGCGGTATCCTCCTAGCGTTGTAGGTCGTTGTGCGTTGAAAACCGTTCCCAGACGGAATCGTGGCCGCATGTTTAGCTAGGCTGGTTACGGTCTACCACGCGCGCCCTATGGCTACGCTCGACATGAATGACCTCCGCGTGTATACATGTATGCACCATTCGAGTTCGTCATGAGCACACCACAAAAGCTCGCTAGTTGGCGTCCAGGTAGAACTGACACGTTCTTCGTGCGGGCCGGGTGGTTGCCATCATAAGAGTAAGAGTCACATCGGCGTGCAAAAATTGTTTCGCTCTCTGAAAACGAGACGGCAAAACCAAAGAACAGAAAAGAGTCTGCGTTTTGCGCAGCGTCTCGTGTTCAAAGACCTCTTCTCATCTCGCAGAATGCCTTCTACCGTATACGACACAAGACAACACACCCCCTGGACCGATTTTCAAAGCTCGATTCCTCAACAGCAGAAAGAGTCACACACAGCGCCAAAAACGGTGGCGTCGAAGTCGTCTCGTCGAGACTTTCCGAAACTGCATGGATAATTTTAACATCCTCTTGGTCGTGGCGTAATCGAGCTTTGAAAATCGGTCCAGGGGGTGTGTTATCTTGTGTCGTACACGGAATGCAACCGAAACGGTCAAGTCAAAGCGGTACAGCTCGTGGGACCTACCGGCCCATTCTCACAACATCACCACCCACTTGGCCGGTAGTCTTCGCGTGCAAAACACTTGTTGCCAGATAAAAACGAGACGGTGATACAGCGGTACAAGTCCCTGTTACATGCCGAGTGATTTCACTCGCACTAGACCGGGCCACCCGCATACACAACAACTGACAACCTCCTCGGTGCCACAGGCAACGCACTGCTGTAGAACGCGCCACACACAGGGACCTCTGGTGCTGTGGAGCAAAGGCTGCCCCGAACTCACCAGCTTCCCTGCCAAGATGCCGCATGTTTCTATGCCGTACGGCGGCTTGTCCGTGTTAGGCTTCGCTATCTTCTCAAACTGCGCCACGAGCGTCGACGGCAACACCACTTTCCTCTCCGTACCAAAACCCCTGCTCGGTCAGACCGGAAAAGAAGGATTTCGACCAAGGGCGAGCGAGCATCATTAGGGATAAGAGCTTGCGGGTCAACAGTCAAGAGTTACAGATTCGTTGGGAGGCTGTAGATGTTTGTTTGGGGGTCTGCGTGTAGATGGCCATTCAAAAGGGTCACGTCCCAACGTCTTTCGAGGACGACGTAACCTGTTGATGTTCACTTGTAAATATTCGGAACCCTGTGCATTTCCCTCGTCTACCAGCTCCCCCTTTCCCGAGCGAAGAACACAAAAAACATCTGGGCAGGCTCGGTGTCAACGCGGGGGAACACAGTCCAAACTTCCGCAGGTTGGACTATTGCAGGCGCACACAATCAAACAGGGTTACAGGGATGGATAAAAACGCTGGCGGACACCCGCCATGAAAGCTTGGAACGCAGGTTCAACGCGAGCATGCAGTAACGAAGATCGCCAGTTCACGTCAACGGAGTCGATCGATACAGTTGTCCGGGCTCCTACATGGCGCCGCAGCCTCCGACTGTCATCAGTTCGATAAGCCTGGATCACAGATGAAGGCTAATTTGGGGGAAATGAAGGCTCCGACAGGGTTTACACTAGACCAGGGTGTCTGAATCAAGAACAGAGGTTAGGGGTAAGACCAGGGTCACGGAAGTGAGGGTGCACGCGGCGAAACAAGCTTAGCAATTCCTCCGGACAAAAAGAAGCCATGGAAACCGCGAACTGCCAGCAGGGAGCCCGAGTCGGCCCCACCGCTGTCAGAAAATAAAATGGGGAAGCACTCCCCACAACACGTTCCCCGTGCTGCATCTCATACGCAACCTCGCCACTTCGACGTGTCATGTTAGATCGATACACACGTGGATATCCTCCCGAGTCACCACACCCCCGTATTCGCGACCTTCGTTCCTATTGTCACCCGCTTCTTTCCGAAAATTAACCAAATCGCATGCGAACTTGCCGCCACCCCTCCCGTGCCGACACCGCCTCCTCCTCCTTACCTAGCACTTGGTTGCATCGACGGCGGCTTTTGTTGACTCTCCGGCTGAGGTACGCTGGGGTAGTGTCCTGCTGAAGACGGGCTCTATGTTCGTTCCCAATCGTGAGCGAATACACGCATGTAGAGGGCGACAGAACAGAGGCATGTTGAGAGGGGGTAGGCAGCGAGCGGGGGGCAGCGGTATGTACAAGGGTGGTCGTCCAGACAACACTAGCAACCACAAATCCACGCACCCTGAGCACAGGCCCAACCTCAAACGCGCACGTGGGAGAACAACATCGTCAAAACGCAAAAGGAGCAGAAAACTTGAAAACTCACTTGAGACTTGAAACTTAACCGAACGCGAGCATCCTGCGACGTCAACACACGACTTGCAAATCAACACAAAAACGCCGTGGGTGTTCGTACAAGCTGCCGCCGACCGCGAACCAACGCAGGTCCGGGCAAAAGCGGACCCGTTATCATCTGCGTTCTCTGGTATGGGATTTCAATGGAAATCCTCCCTGGGTTGCAACGGGGCCCACGGCTAGACGAGCGAGCAGACCAAGCCCGACCTATTTATCTGGACTACTCACCAGTTGCGCCGAGGGCGTAAAAAAGAGGTCAGGCGTGTGAACATACGGAATGGACCCACAAGCGCGCTGAGGCTCTGTGATGACGGCCTGGAGGAAAGATAAAAACAAATCAATCTACGCCACGCGCACGGCAGAAACAACCCACCTGATCCAACGACAGGTTCCTGAACGCGTCCTGCAGCGCAGCCGCCCCACCAACCGCCGCCGCCGCCGCCCCCACCCCCCCATAGCCGGGCCCCCCATAGTTGGGCCCCCCATAGCCCCCCACCCCGCCGTGGTCGCCGTACAAACTGCCGAAGTCAGACGGGGGCGGTGGCGCAGACGGAACGTACATACCCGGCGCCGGCGGGGGGTAGAGCGGCGGCAGTGGCGTGAAGGGCTGAGACCCGGCCGCCCCGGCGCCGACGGCGGACGTCATCCCGGAGTTTCCTACTGGTTGCGATTCGGAGGCCGACGACGGGCGTCCGGTGGGGGCCTCCGGGAGGTCGTCCAGGGAGTAACCCAGCGTGGTGGTGGCGATGCCACTGCTGGCCAGGCCCCTGCGCTTGTTTTCCGCGGCGGCCGCCGATGCCGCCGCCGTGGCCGCCGCGCGTATCCGCCGTTCGTCAGCGTCATCGAGCTGCTTGCAGATCGACTCCAGTATTGGGAAAATGCGCTCCCGTTCCTGATGCGGGTTGTATACCGGTCGAAGGAAAGTGTTATTTAGTGAGGCTGTGTCACATTCAACGGTTTTCTTGGCGTGCAGGGAGCGTCTGCGTCCCGCCCTGCGGAGTAGCGTTGCGCGGAGAGTGGCGTGCGGGCAAAGAGTGCGTCTATGCAGACGGAGTCTCGTTTTCCGCCTGCCACCTTAAACGCAGGATCCGCCCGTGCGCTTGCTGCTCTGGCGCCCCCGGTAGACTCACCTTTTCCAACCAAATTCTGTCGTTAACAAAAGCATCCTTGGTGTATTTCTTGTGCTTGGGCATTCCGTCCAGCGCCAGATGCAAGAACCGCTTGATATACACATAGGCCTTGTAATATTTTCCGAGCGGGCGTGAAGGAAACAAGGGCCCAGCGAAGGAATGGGGGAAGTTGCGGAACACGTGCGGCACATTGTGATGGGGAGGCTCGCTGGTCTGAGAGAGACCAGAAGATGTACCCATAACGCTGCGAGTCAACGAAAAGAGCACAAAACAAACTCCGAAGCGGACTCAACGAAAATCACAACACGTACAAACGCCGTCGACGTTTTTGGGATGAGCGGGGAAAGCCATTACAGCTAAAAACAAACAGTGGCCGCCAGTGCCGTCTTGAGTCTCTCACTTTATCCCGGCATCTAGGCCAAGCTCTCCCTATCCCGGATGACCATTGATGGAACAAGTGAGGGAGTTGAGGGCAGGCGGGAAGGCATGAAGGGAGCTCCGAGCACAAGCCAAACGGCACAAAGTAAGCTCTAACTCCAACGACACAAGACAGAAAACCACACAGCAAGAGCTGTACAACAGGAAACCATGAGGCAAGTTGAAAATCGGGATGTTCAACACAACGGGTGAATGCGTGCATTTCTACGCCCCTGGGTTTCACGACAGGTGGGCATTCCTACACTTCCGTGTGGTTGTGGTCGTGGTCGTCTTTTGTTGTTGTCGCCTTCGCCGTGTACCAGACGGGCATGGCAACCGACAACACACGCAGGCATCCAAAAACCGTGGTCTTCTTCTTGTACTTCAGACGCAGGACACTGGTGTCGTCCAACTCGTGCGCCGTCCCACTCGGTGTAACCCTTTGACTAGAAAGCACGTTCGCGTGTTTGATTCCGCCAGCCTTTTTCATTGGTCAGCCGGTTATGAAGCGCAGTCGGCACTAGCGCCAAAAAAGAGGCGGCCAAACGGCACTCACTTGGACGAGCTGTCCTTCGACGTAGTAGGCCTCTCCCTGGAACAAGAGCTGTCTGACGCCGTGGAAGTAGCTCCGAAGGTTCTGGGCGTCCTTGACCGGGGCGACAACGCATTGCTCCTGCAGCGCCTCTCTCGTGGGCCCTCTGACGGCCATGCCCGATGCGGAGTAGAGCCTGGAACCAACGGCGGCGTATTAAACGTCAAAGAGAATGATGCGCAATGGAGAATGATGGGTACGCTTTGACTTTGACAATGCGATGGCAGCGGACAATTCCCAAGGGGTATCTGTCGACCTAAACTCGCTTTTTCTGTCCGTGTCATATTATTTCGCATAGCCCACCCCTTGCCCCACCCGGTCTCAAATGCTGATCTCGAGCTATAGTGCAACTCTGGGCGCCTCAAGTATGGTTCGGTAAGGAATCGCAAACCATGACCCCTCCCCGAGTTTGAGCAGCTTCCACCTCCTGTGGCCGACACGACTCGACAATGACTGTTCCTTGTCTGTTTCACCATGGGAACGGCCGGTTGAACAAAGAAAGGGGGTCCTGCGTGCTGCGCGCCACAATCTTCCATTCTTGGTTTATTTCTTGCTGAGTGATGTTCGATATGTGCTGCAAAGCTCGTAAGGTAATCGTCTCTGTAGGCTGCGCGCGTTCCTCGCGTAGGCAGCGAGTTGCTCGCGTATAGGTAACGATGCGCATCTCTTGCTTTATTGTCTTTGGTGTCCTCATCCATGAACATTAACAGCAGTTCGAGACAAAGACCAACAACACGTACGTAATTGGGAACTTGAGCGATAAGGTCGATGGTAGCACAACCTCCGTACTTGTGTACACACGTATTATAGCTATGAGAACGGTCGACGCTTTTCTTGTAGAGGTGCACATCTAACACGGACGGCAGGCGTATTGAGGTAGTTCGTCCGTGGTGCTTGGTCTCTTCTCTAGTCATGTTCATTATTTTTGTTGTCACTAGTACAACATTTTTCTTCGTCACTACATACTTCTACAACAATACCAAAAGAATAAAGTCCGTCTGTAGATTCCGGATTTTGTTGCTGTCTGAGTAAACGAGGCTACCCGTGCACCCGGCTGCTGCATGTGACACGATGGGCGCTGCCAGGTAAAGGGCGTGGCCATAATCTGCAGTGCCTATGTGGGAGCTTTCGGGGGTTCAGAGCGGCGAGAGCGCTTTTTCTATGCTCTCCTCCGCCTCCTCGCTGAAGCCTGTCGGATCTGGCTCTATATTATGGTTGTAGACTATGAATATTTTTTTATTGTATTCATGCTTTGTTTCTTGGGGGTCCTCCATCCGCCCACCCACCAATATATCGTAGTTTTTGTTGGATGTTTTTCTTGCCATGTATCGGGTATGGCTGTGTGTGAGCTCGAGGGATAGGGTCGACGGCAGCACACTTGTGTGCGTAGGAAGCTATGCGAGGGTTTGGAACAAGAGGGTTACCTGGGGAAGCAAACGTCCCACTTCTCCTTCCATTGCTCCCACCCCCTACTGTTATCATAATAGCGTGTAGTGCTTGTTTGTCCTATTGGGAAAAAGTGATTATTTTCGCGCCGCCCCGCCCGCCCCAGCGCCGCCGCGGGCTGTCACTCACTGCTGTAGTCTGCCACCGCGTGGCGGACAACCACGTGTTGCGTGCAAATACGGGTTTGAGAGCAATCTCCGCCGCCTCTCCCACGACTGGAACAAGTTTGTTGTCTTCGGAGATCATTGTGAGCTGTGGTGCTATATTCTTAGCAAGAAATAAGAAAATACTTTCTACGATAATAAAGAAATCTGCAGGATGCGACAGCCCCCCTCCCAACGAGCAGCCCATTTTTAAAAGATGTTTGAGCGCGTCGATAGGTGAAAAAAGCTGTTTGAGAGGGATCGTGATGTACATGTACGTACGTGAAAAAAAAAATCTCTAGGGGGAGGGATTTTTGATCGATGGTGTCCGGTGTCTAGTGTCCGGTGTCTGTGCGTCGATAAATACACACGAGATTGGAGCCCATTTTACCATCTAGGCACCAAACTGCAACCTAAAAGTTGTGCACAGCAAGTAGCATTTTGCCCGAGCTGTCCCAACTGCTACCTTTTCAATCCGTACTCGGTGCGTCGAGATAGCACAGCATCTGTGCTGATACCTATACCTAGGATTCACGCGCCCCGCCGAAAAACCCAGGCAGGCGTGATTTTTTTTGTTCCGCCGGTCGGTGTGCTCAGCAGCTGTTGCAAAACACACACGACACAGAGACAGGGAACATGGACAAGGCGGGCGGGAGAGACACTCACACCACCGGGAGAGCACGGCGGGAGGGTGTGCCCAATACTATACTGCTATCGGCGGAGCAAGCGAGAGGAGAGAAGAAGAAGCGCTGTGTTGTTGTTGTGCGTGTTGCGAGCGGCGGCGTTTTTTTTGTCGTCAGCGAGAGAGAGGACAAGAGCACACCAACACGCCGCTAGACACCACCATTGATGATGCATGTACTGCTGTAAACCTCTCTTGTTGTGTGCGATGGCCTAGGGTGCCACCTGTGCCTTCCGTGTGCTAGTCTAGTCACAAATCACACGCTCTGGAGTTGCCTGTAGATAAAGCTCGAACCAGAGGTAGGAGCACAGTTTTTTTTTTTTGGCGCTGCTATGCGTATATACATAGCTCATGCGAACACATACCCTCCTCTCTCTAGCTCATGATGAGGAATACCACCCGCCTCTTGTAAATCACACTGGCGCCCCCCAACTCAACACTGATGTGTGGTATAAACGAGCCAATGGTAACAACGCACGAGCCTTCTGCAGGTGCATTTTTCCACAAAAAGGCTACCCTCTTGTAATTTTAAAGAAAATTAACGACTTCGCCTGATTCTTCGACCCAAAAACGACGGAATCGATGCTCGATGTAATGGCATTTGACCCCTTCCTTCAGAATCAATCACCTAAGAGCTGTGTGGAACTCTCTTGCACACTGAACAGAGGGGCACACATGCCTCCGCATAAAGCCTTAATCTAGCATGATGTCATGCCCTTTCATCCGACGGCGCCAAATAACCATGTTCAACCATGATCACATGTCTACCTCCAAATACCATAACATCGACCCGATTTGACGTTTCTGAGTTTTTTTGCCCGTTCTGTGTGTATCATCGCTCGCTACCACCGCATGGGGGTTGACAGTTACTCACTATTTGTCAGGCTCTGCTGTGTACGTGGAGCATGGTCTGATACGTTCAACCGCATGACCTCCATCGACCCGATTTGACGTTTGAATTTTCGCGTTTTCGCCCGTTCTGTGTGTATCATCGCTCGCTACCACCGCATCGGGGTTGACACTTACTGACGAGTCAGGCTTTGCTGTACGTGGAGCATGGTCTAATACGTTCAACGGCATGACCTCCAGGGGCTACCCATTGCTCCAGGTACTGAATGTAAGTAGGAGCTGCGCGAGCACATCGTCGTTACAGCAGTACATGCAACCTACAGTACGTTCCAGCCCGTGATAGGGATGCTGGCTTATGTGTAAAACCAATCGAAAGTGGCTACGGAAGATTGTCGCACCTTGGGTGTTGGTGCGAAGACCAACAATGGTCCTGACCACAAAGCGGAATTTTCAAAGGGCAAGCAACTATTCTCGCTGCTGTGCTGCTGCACGCGGGGAACGTTCTCCCCTCGCTATCGTAGGCAAGACGACGAGCTGGAATGATAACAACTTCGCGAGCGGTGCTTGCCCGCCAATATTTTTGCAAGACCTTCGAAGGGTTATATCTCGTTCACTTCGACCAATCTCTAAGAGGAAGAACAACCGCCACCACCAGCAAGAAGCAAGAGTGTTGTGCCCATTGCCTCCACTGCTGTGTTGCACCGGCGTGTTGCATTTACGGGCGAGTTACATACACCAGCAGCATTGCTCCGCAAACAATTACACTGGGTTTTGAGACCCTCACCTTTTCGCTCAAACCTTTCTCTTTGGCCAACCCCGGCTCTTGTCTTTCTTCTGTCCGGGCTTCGGTTCCTTACAAGGTCTCACCTTCCAAAGTCCAGCACGCGATACTGCACAGAGCAAGACAGAAGACCTGAGACGGCGACACACCAAACCAAAGACCCAGGGTTATTATAGTTATAGTCTTTGCACCAAACAGATCTCACCTGGGGGGCTACGCAATATCATACTCATGTAACTCACATGTCCTTCGCAGTTTCGTCCCTTGCCCCGCCTTCGTATTTGATTTGTCGTATTGCGTTAGGCTGACACACCCACCCCACTTTGTGCGCAGCACACACCCGCATCCATGCCTCCGGACAGTACAAGCGATGCCTGTGCCCCTAGTGAGGAAGAGGTGTCTATGCTGAAGGGCGTAGGTATGGAAGGTTCACGAAAACCTTCTTCACTCAGCGCAATCCACATCACGGATGTTGTCAAGGTAAGGCGAATCACCACGAGGTCCATTTACGTCAACGTGCACTACACGGCGTTTAGTACAGCAGTAAATAGTAGTTTTACAGGAAGGTCACGCCGAAAGCGCACCTCCCGTAGAATTGCAACCATGCTGTTTTGACCAGGGTGTTGTATTGGAGAGCCTGGTGTTTGGTCTTTTCTATGGTTTACCAGATCGCTTGGGAAGTGGCAGCGGCGTGTTGTCTCGAGGGATCAGCGGTACGCAGAGTATCCCAGCAGGGTTCGCGGGATGTGCACTTGTCGTCAGCCGTCTGCACCACGAGCCATCTCTCCATCCTTGCCCGCAACCGGCGCACGCAACGGGAGCTCTAGTATTGTTAGTTAGCCCCTACAGAACACAGCAGCCTGATTCGTATCCTACAGCAGGCAGGCGTGTTTCATGGAGCCCATGCCTGAAATCTTAATCTTGACGTTGCGGGCGTGCTGCTATAACCGTCACCACAACCCTCTCCGTTGCGCCATATGCTGCCTGTGTGGTGTCCCGTCCAGGTTCTCCTCTTCGTCGACATGCTCTCCGTCGATCTGGTGGTTCCTCTGTTGTCCTCGTACTTCAGAGATCTGAACATCAGGTGGGTGGATGTGCGACTTCAAAGTATTTACATTGTAGACTTCAATTTGTGTTCCTCTCTCGTCAAGATTTCGTTCTGATCCCAGTCAGGAGTTGGTGCCACTATTGAACGTGGCCACGTATCGACCTGTTTCTCGCACGTGCATACACTCCCGGTCTACCTTTGTCTCTGCCCCCCACGCACGAGCGTGAAGCTGCTGCAGCAGTTAGTTTGTTGTTGCCCGTCTTGGCGAAAGGCAGTGGTATGGCGGTTGGCACCCCAATTCTCTCCCCGCGATGAAGGCGACACGTGGCGACATCCCAGGAAAACAAGCACGGGATATGCGTGGTAGCTGTAGGAATTGTGCATAGCCGAGCACGTGTCAGACGTTGGCGAGGCGCTTGAAAAAAAATCGAACTTTGAGCGGACCGAGAGTCGGCACTAACCGCTGCTGCGCATCACACCGACTGAAGCAAAGCCCCCTTCTCTGATGCTCTCGAGTTGTGCTTCCTCTCTCTCCTACTACTCTCGTTCACGACATGCCTCGCGAGCAACGGCACACGTGTCCGTTCATGAAAGCGTGTGCGTTAGAGGCCGGCAGCCGGCGTTTGGGGATGGACCGCATCCTTGAATGCCTCCCGTGCCGAAATGGTAGAAAAAATATATAGCTCCTCGGGCGTCGCCGCTACAACGTGGGATTCCGCAACTCCTGTTTCATCTTGGTATCAATATGCCGTACCCTGCCCCGCACATACGAACACATCCTGCTCCTACCGACAGCGCAGAGCCTTCTCTTGGCGTTTGACCACGTCCCTTGCACCAACGCAGCACGGAGCAGTATGGGCTCATGTTCTCCGCCTACAGCCTGTCCCAGATTGTCGGGGGCTTGGTTCTGGGAGCGCTGAGCGATCGTGCTCTGTCCCGCCGCACCGTGCTCCTCATTTCCTTCCTGGGCAGCGCCTTGAGCTACGGCACGATTGGCCTGTCCAGCTCGTTGACCATGCTCCTGGTGGGGAGAGTCGTGGTCGGCCTGGTGAAGCAGGTGTGTTGTCTGTGTGCGGGAGGGGTCGTGTCTTCGACGTGCTGGCGTGCCTGGCAGCCGAAGGTCGGTGCGCGGAAAGACAGGCGGACGCTTGGGTGCGGCTCCTTCTTACACCCGACACTATCGCCCTCACCTGTCAACATCTTCCCGCGGTTCGTCTCGCCTGTGTCCTGATTCCCACACAGACGGTGACAATATCAACCGCGATTGTCAGCGAGCACACGGCTAAGGAGGAACGTTCAGCAGAAATATCCAAGCTGGGGGCCGCCATGACCTTCGCTTCCATCGTGGGGTCGGCCTGCGGTTCGCTCCTCTATCAGAAAAGAAAGACGTTCCCCCCGCTGGTGAGGCCTTCGACGGCGTTCGTGTGTAGGGGTAGGGGAGTGCTTGATTGCAGCTGACTGTGATGGGCGTAAAAATGGAAAACCCAAGCCGCATCCAACAAGCTTGCGTTTGAAGCACGGCACCAAGAAGAGAGCGCATGTGTCGCCTTCGTCGACGCGTTTTTGCTGCGCGTGGTTGCTGTGGTGCGTGGAACAGGTCGCTTGCGCCCTCTTTTTGCTGAACGCAGCCTTGGCTCTCATCCTCTTGCCGTCCGGCAACGGGAGGGAGGTTGGTGGCTGGACCGATGCCGCTGCTGGTGCGAAAAAGAAAGACGACGACATCGTAAATGGTAGCGACAACAAGGACGACACGTTGACAACAGCAACGCCCGCATTAGACGGCGGTGTTGGAAAGAGTGCGGAGAGGGGGGAGGATTCAAGCTCCTTCTCCTCCGCCACCAGGCGGTTCTTAGCCAACTTCAAGAAGGCGTGTCGCAGCGGTCCCACCCTGCGCATCCTGGCGGCAAAGTTGATTTTTGGCTTCTTGTTCAGAGCCTTGGGCTCCCAGAATTTTGTCGGGTGAGTTTCGACGTTCGTGTGTAACCTTTTCGGTCTGATGTTTTTTTGCTTCTGGTAGAAAACTTTAGCGGCCAACGCTTTTCATGGACCACAAGTGGCGAAGCAATTCGATGTGATAGCCACAGGACTTTGGAATATTTCTTCTGTGGCCACCCCTTCGCTCTCGGCCCCATTGCGACGAAAACCACAGCTATGAGGCCCTTGATTTCGCCTCATGCTGCGCGTATGTAAGTGGCAGGGTTTGTGTAAAATGTCAGGAAAAGTTATTCAATATCACTTGGTCCAATGCGTAGACGAAATGAGTTGAATGGACACAGCGGTGACGCCTGTCTGCACGGCAACAACACGTGCATGTCACCTAGGCATAAATTTTCTGGAAGAGAGTAAGCCATGAGGCGTTGCATCCACCCGTTGCCTTGACAACAGCGGTTCCTTATTCTGTCGACAACCCAACCCGAAACTTGTGGTTGGCCTTGTCAAGGCGTATTTCACAGGGCTATGCCATCTCTCCAGGTTGCGAGTCAGACCTGATTTCGGTGTCTATCTCCAAGTAGCCCTCTTAGGACCCCCGAAAATCGGTCGCTCGTTGCCGCTCCCTCCCGGTCATCGCCTCGAGCAGGTACTATGAGGAGAGGTTTGGCGTCGCGAGCGCGAGTCTAGGCTACATGTCTTCATATACGGCGGGCCTGAGTTTCTTCGTACAGGTGGGTAAGGCGGAATATCTGGTCAAGCGGTTAAACCTACGCTGCCAAAGCCTCCGTTTTCCTCGTCCTGGGAGACACAGAGAGAGGGACACACACACACACAGCGAGAGGGGGGGAGAGAGAAGAGAGAGGGGGAGAGAGAGAGAGAGAGATTTGTGCCTGGAGTCTTTGACAAAGGAGGTGTACTACCCCCACCCCTCCCCCGCCGTTCCTTCCTCTCGAGTTTTTCTTCCTAGGGCTGAACCAAGCACGGTGTTGTTGTAATGCTTTCCTAGCCATTTTTTTCCGGTGACATTGCCACAACATAGTCATCGCTTCTCTGTGACGGCACTGCGGAACAGTTGGGACACGATTCTCAGGGGGGTTCCTCGTGGAAAACCGAATAGAAAACTGCTCTCTTACACACACACGTACCCTCGGTTGCCTGGCGCCCCTCCCCCTCCTCTCACAATCGCGACCGCTCCTAACTACCTTGACACCCACACTGCCAGCTCTACGTGGTGGGCCGCCTGGCTTCTTTGGCCTCGGAAACCCATCTGGTGGCCATGTCTCTGGCCGTCGTGGCGCTCATGAACCTCGCCGAGGGGGCTCCGTCGATCATCGGGTTCTGGGGTTACCTCGCCCTCCTCATCCCGGCGAGGACGGTAGCGCACGGCACCCTCCAGGCGTGCCTGCAGTCGATGTTCACGCAGCGGGTGCCCCAGGGAGACCTCGGGGCCGCCCTCGGCGTCCTGAACGTCCTGTCGTCGGCGAGCGGAGTGGTGGCGCCCGCCTACGGGGGCAAGCTGATTGGCTACCTCGGGATCTTGGCGCGGCCGACGGTGAACGCCGCGCATTACGCCGCGTTCTTCGTGCTGTGGTGGGTGATGGAGGTTGCGAGAGGGCGCGCGCCGGCGGAGGGGGAGGGAGGGTCGAGGAAGCCCGAGAGCGTGGCGGACGGCCCTGTGGGGGAGGCGGCGGTAGATGCCGGCGATGGTGACTCTCCAAGCAAAAAGATCGATTGATGGATGGACCGTTTGGAAGGAATTTGTTTATATGACCATATTATGGGGTAGATGTTAAAAAAGGAAAAAGGATAATTTGGAAGATATTTGTAGAGGTGACGTTTTTATTTTTAGACTCATCTTTGGTCCACCGATGTGATCTTTTTCTGGGACTGGGTGTGGTTTTCCACGAGCAACAGCACTCAATCTCGCGCGGACGCGTGAGCAACGACGAGATGGGTGACCGTAAAAGTAACTCCACGATCTGCCTTTTGCTGCAATCTTGGAAAAAGACGACTAGAGACATTGGTCGTGATCGCGACGATATTATTGTGGGGAGGGCGAGCAAGAGGATCGACGCCTGCAATAGTTTTCTGACGCGCTTGGGTGTACGCCAAGGCAGGAAAACTGCCGTACGTCTGCCAGGATGGGGTGCGGGACCTCGCTCGCGTAGTGGTGTGTTCCCGAGCCTGAAACAGTGGTAGCCAGCAGTCAAGCTCATTGCTGAAATGGTATTGTATGTGTTGAGCCTTCGTTCACTAAACGGAACGTGGTATTTATTGTGGATTCGACATACCGTTGGCTTGACGTCTATGGTACACCTCAAATGTACTGTACAGAAGGCAGAGCGCCCCCCCCCCCTGGTTCAACAGCTTGGTATACGTTGGAGTTGAAGCTCCGTGTTCACAAGATGTTTGATTGTAACCGGTTACCACCACGTTGTGGCTAAATAAGGCCGAAAAAAAATAACACAGAACAATCCATGACAACAATCCCTCCCCGCTGAGACACAAATACATAGCACGTATTTTCAGGGATAGGTCTGTTGGCATGATCGGTCAGTCGGTGGCATGATCGGCCCGTCGACACCACCACGATATACTTGCAACGCGCACACACCAAACGCACAGCAATAACAGTGTAACACACAAAAAAACAGCATAACACACAAAAACTTCCCCCCTATGCGCTTCTTCCGCCCAGAGGAAGAACAAGGGCGCTTCAGCAAATAACCCCGGTGCACACGCTTTCGCAACGCACGCTTGTGTGAACACAACCAGCCGCCGTGCCTTCTTCCAAGGGGCACGACCCCACAACCAACACTAAAAATAATCAATCACACCAGTCCCAACGGCCCGCCGTTTCCACCCAGCGTAGTACCTGCCGTCGAGTAGATAGCACGCAAGACTAAGAACGGGGCGCGCCCCGCGTACCCACCCATTAGTGATGCTACACCTGCTGCAGTACAGTCTACTCTCCTGACGTAATCTACTCTTGCCGAGGAACAACAAGTCCCGAACGGCTGTGTTCTGTCCCTACCTTGTGTCAAAGAGATGCTCTCGGAATTGTTACCCCCAGAAGCTCCGCCGAAGTGGTGCTCCCAGTCGCAAGAGATTTACCTACCGACGCACCCAAGGCCAACTTGTTGCCGGAGAGCACAACAACGCCCTCCTCTCGGCCACAACATTAAGGATCTCCATTAAGGCTCTCAGGCAATCGCGCCGACAGCGGCAATACTTACACCAAGGCCTTCCGAAAAGAAAGAGGACCGCCAACGAAAGGCGACGCACACCAAGTCAGTCATGCCTGTGCGGCGGCGTAGCCCCCAGACATCACCGAAGGTGGTCTCAGAAGGCCACCACCGCCACCGCCATTCTGTTGATAGCTCTGCGCGCCGTTGCTCCCTCCCTTTCCCATCCCAAGGATGGAGGTAGCAGCACCGCCGCCGCCGCCGCCGCGCCCAACCATGGACGCGAAACTCCGGCTGCCGCCGGACGACTCCTCTCCGTCGTCGCTGTCCTTGGAGGCTACGCCTTCGGCCCCCGGGCTGGAAATGACGGTGCTAGCGTGCGGGGTGGCCGGGGTCGAGTCGACTGCATGGGGGGGGGTAGACGGAGGGATGCTTGGATCAGGGACGAATTTGGGTTTTCTCAAGTTTTGGAAAGTACGCAAGACTTTTCGGGGCTTGTGCTTCGTCTCGCGATGCATCCCACAGGTAGCAGAATAAACTACAACGCTACACCAAATGCTGACGGCTAACCATTCGAGCGCTTGATAAACTGTGTCACTGGTGTGATTTCTGGAAAGGTTCTGGAACGGTTGTGGTGCCTGCACTGTACTTCTTCGAACTTGACGTGGCAAACAACACTGATTTGCGGCCAACAACACATGCGGCCAAAAGGTATGGTATCAGCGCCCGCGAAGCATATGGTATCTTTTACCGACACACTTCAAAGAAGCTGCGACGATAACGGGTGGCGGAGCGTGTGTACGGCGGGGTGCTTACAAAGATACGGTGCAGCTGCTGGCCGCAGTCGGGGCCGCGAATGTGCTTGCAGAAGGACTCGCTCAAAACTCTGCCGTCCCCTATTCACCTCCACGCTCTTATCGGTCTCTGCCGCACCAAGCGTGTTCCTCCCGTCGACCGATTGAAAACTCCTCAACGGTGAGCAACCCGTGTTAGAGCTGGCGGCCCTCAGCCTAGAACAAACCGCACACAGAGAGATACCAAAACTCCCTCCACAAACGTGACCAGACAAAAGCACTTACCAGACCGCGACCTTCGTCGTTGCACTCCAGATCCAGGAACCCCTCCACCCACCGGGTACCCATTCACGCCCCAACTATTCGCACCCGGAGCCCCCGCGGCACGCTCATCCCCGGCTCTTCGCGAAAGCTCGCCCCCCCCGCCCTCTCCCCGCATGATCTGCTGCTGCGGCTGACGCTGCTGCTGCTGCTGCTGCTGCTGCTGCTGCTGCTGCTGCTGCAGTTGCTCCTGCTGCCTCTCCCGCTCCGCGCGAAGGAGAAGCTCAGACGTCCCCGCCCCCCAGCCGCCACCACTGCTGACGCCGTTCGGCTGCTGATGGTGGTGGTAGTGGGGCTGCTGTCTGGTGGAAGGAGGCTTGCGCGGCAAGAGAGAAGACCCCGCCGTGCCCGCCGCCGTCGGGGCTGACGTCGAAGAGGAGGAGGAGGAAGGGAGCGAGGCTACGTGCATCAACACGTCGCCCCAGGTGTCCCTCCCGCCGCCACCACCGCCACTGCCGCTACCGCGCCTTCCGCCGCTGTCGGTACCACTGCTGTGCCGTCGAGCCTGGTGTGTGTACGAGCAAAAGGATAGAACCGTTGCCGGATGGATGGACGTTTCTAACTGCGAGGCAGTTGGAGCATAACAAAACAAACGAACACGCGAAGGCCCTATTTTCATTGCAACAGAAAACGCACCCCCCGTGATGGCTGAAAGGCACGCACAATACACACCGCGCTGAAAGCAGCTGTGCATCGTGCCGAACCCACCGCGTAAACATCACCTCTCGTAAACTCCCAGCGATGACATTCAACACCCAGGGCACACGGCGGCTTCGGTTTCCTTGTCAGGCTCGTTCTAAAGTCGGATACATTGTACGCATGGCTTTTTACCTTCCGCGTCGCTGAAACCTTGGGTCGAAGAGGCTGCATCTATAAAGGAGCAAGTGCACGCTAACATCAATCTCGTTAAAGCTTGTCAAAGGCATGTTCCTCTCATACCGCTGTGCTGTGCGACCAAAAGCATGCTTCATCTCATACCGCATTTCGAACTCTGCACAAAATAACATTCCATTTCAGCTGAACCCCTCCGCGTCCTTTGAAGGTGCTGTTGCGTACAGGCAACAATCCTCCAACAAAACACCCACCATTCCAGAAGTGTACAAGTATAGCCCGGGGTAAAGAACTCCATTCTCTCGAGTAGTCCACTCACCTCGCGCTCCTCCGCACCCCGCCGCAGAGTGCTAAAATCAGGAGCCGCTCCCCTACTCACTCCGCCGCTAGCCGCCCCCCCGCCGCCCCCCACAAAGAGCTCAGCCCGCGAGGCCCCTCGCTCATCCCCAACCCCTTGCCCTAGGCCACCTTGGCCGTAGCCCCCCCCCCTCCTTGACGCGTCCGAAGCCGAGCGGCGTCGGGGAGAGAGCGCCCTGCTGCTGTTGCTGTTGTTGCTGCTGCCTGCCGGTGTTGCCCCCGTCCCCCCCACAGACCGGTGCTGATACTGCTGCTGCTGCTGCTGCTGCTGCTGATCTCGAAGGGCAACGCTCACCCGCTCTTGTACTGCGTCCGACCAAGATTCCCTCCCCACCTGGGAAAAAAAAAAGAAGAAAAAGGCGTTCGTTTGAATCTCATGGCCCAGAGGGGGGTTGAGTGATGGGGTTGCGGTTCAAGGGCGACGCCGCAAAGCAAAGCGAGAGACTGGTGGCGACAGGAACGTGGGGTCGAAGCGGAGGGGCTGGCGCGGAGATTACGAACGGCATTGCTAGAGAGCCTATCGTGTCGTTGTGTGCCACAGAGCAGTGAGATTGCACCCACCTGGGGTACGTGACGCAAGCACATGTTGAAAAAACTCAAACACACGTCGTTTCGCATACAGCTGAGCAGCACACCCTGCCGATCAGATCGGTCCGCGATCACACCAATGCTCTCCTGCCGCACCAAGAGAACAAAAAGCGTGATAGAGCTGTCTCTTTTCCCTACCCACCCACGTCACTCCCGTCAAAACGCAAGAGAGACTAAAACTACAGTCATCCCTCGGTTTAGGACACATGGTTTTCCGTTACAACAGGTGTCCTTATGCCGGGGGAAAGTGTCTTTAAGATTAATACCCCCCCTTGCGTTTGTACATTCTGCGGGGGCACCATGTCCGTGAAAAAAAAACGTGTCCGTATCCGTTGCAGTGTCCTTAAAAATAGTGTCCATTACAATGGTGTCCTTAACTGAGGGACGACCGTGCATGTACTTCACGCACCTCATACATCCCCTCCACCGGGTCCCCTATCCCCGGAAGCCCCCCCCCTCCCCTTCGCGGGAACGCCACCGCGAGGCTCTTGATGGTGGCCGGGTGGATGCAGTGCACGTTCACGTCCGCGACCGCGGCGTGCGGGAAGTCCGGGGCGTGGACGATGTGAACGCCGCACCTCCTGCAGAAGAAGTGTGCCGACACCTGCCCAGGACCGACAGGCAGACAGGACAAGAACAAGGCCACAGGCGTACCACGAGTTAGGAGGGGGGGGGGGGTGGTGCCGGCACGGGAAGGTGCACAAAAAGGAGCTGGTGGGAACAAGTGCAGTGACGGAGACATAGGCGCAGATGAAAATAAATTATTGTGGATGTATGTATCGGGATGGGATGGTATACTACGTGAGCTGGAAGAACGAGGGCAGTGACGCCTGGGCAAGCACGGACGAAAATAACTGATCGGGATGCCGGCATGAGATGGTAAATACTCAAGGAGGTTGCAGAGAACAAGTGGCGGTGACATCTGTGCAGGAACAGATGAAAAGAACTGGCTTAGAGGGCGTGAGGATGGAGGTCGGGGTGGGAGGTTCGAACGGGTACAAGGGTGGACAGAGCACACGCGCGTTTGGGTGGGTAGGAGAAGAAAGACAGCAGTGGATGAGGGGGGTGGGACAAGCTTCCTTGTCACAGCGCAGAGAAAAACACCAAAGCCAGACCTTGACGAGACTGCTCTCAGCACACCCGTCACTTCACACAAGCCAAACAGTACACAGTGCGGTGAATGCACCCCAAGAGCAGCTTATTCCCTACCAGATGGTGTCGACGATCCTATTAACTAAGAGTTGTGCAATCGGCACAAACCGCCCCTACAAACAACTGGAGGTGCCTGAATCAGACTGCGAAGAGCTACTAAAAATTGGACGTGACGGAACAAGGCTATGAAGCGCTGCACTGCTGAGAATTGGACCAAACTCAACATCGACATGGTTGTGGGTATGCCTTTCACCATCCAGTGTTGTCGTCTAGTTATGTCGGCGATATTCTAGTCCCGAACGTACCACGGTCTGGTAGCCAGCATATTCTTTCTTAGCTCGCCTGTTCCTTAGACTTGTGCAGCCGTGTCTACGACATCTAGATCCTTGCCTATCGCTTTCGCACGCATCGTGCACGTCTAGTAAGTCCCAGCCCACGCCCAGCCCAGCCTCCCCTTTGTCTCATCTACTACAGCAGTACCCCCGTCCACATGCACCGACCTTTGGCGTGTCGTCACTACCCGCTGGGGGGCGACACTTGAGGAGGTAGAGCGAGCCGTTGGTGTCGTCGGACGTCAGACGAAACTGCTCCGCAGGCACCGTGATGAACGGATAGCGCACCTACAAATGGAGCACAAAAATGCACAACAACAAGCGGGGGCGCCAAGAGAAGAGACGAAGAAATTATTTCCCGAAGACTTCGCGGAGGGGGCATTTCCCAAGCGCGCGGCAACTGTTTGGGAGCCCTGTCGGATGCCGCAGCTGCCTCGAGTACGGAATCTGGGCAGAACGGTAGTTTTCCGGGTGTACTAGCTGCTGTTGTTGTTGATAGGGGTTGATGTTGTTGTTGTCTTCACACGTTTTCAAATAGTCTAACCCTACCCCCTCGCAGTCCATACGAACTCATCAATAGTTTTTCCCTGGGGTAGAGACGTGTCCCCTAAGCCATCATCAAGTGGTGTTCACCCCTCCATTTTCACAGCCGGAACCCATACAACTTTTTCACTTGGGAGAGGGGGGGGGGGGGGGGTGTACTCATAGTCGTGCATGCCGTAGTCGTTTGACCATTGACCTCGCATCCCTACAAAGCCGGGACGGAGCACGCCGGGTTCTCACCGGACCAGGCTCTCACATCACCAAGCGCGAAGCGCCGTGAGGTATTTGGCGAGTCGCATGAATGGTGAGCTGCATCCTGCTAAGGGTGTTCGGCATCTTGTGCTTACTTCCTTGCGTACG